ATAGAAAATTTTGATGTATGCGCCTCCCCTAAAATTGTTTGTCTCACCCCGACCTGATGTTGGATCCCAGACTCTACCACACTGAGTCAACAACCCCCGGATGTATCTGACAAATAAGTGAACCCGTCCTCTGATCCACTCGGTCTTCTAGTTTTCCTTTTACAATTCCTCCACCTGAGCCTTCTTGATCAAATCCATCAAAGATGAAGTGACAATCATGCTTAAGCAGATATCCCATATAGGTGTACTAAAAGTATTGCGGCTCAAAGCATCAGCCACCACATTAGCCTTCCTAGGGTGGTACAGGATCTGGCAAACATAATCCTTTACCACATCCAACCATCTCTATTGGCGCATATTCAGATTCGGATAGTCCATTAAATACCTCAAATTTTTGTGGTTAGTGTAGATAGTACAACGAATCCCATACAAATAGTGTCACCAAATCTTTAGGGCAAAAACCATGGCCCCTAACTCTAAATCATGCGTAGGGTAGTTTTCCTCATGAGGCTTCATCTTCCTCGAATCGTAAGCAATCATGTGACCCCTCTACATAAGGACCGCTCCCAAGCCCGAAATAGAGGCATCACAATAGTGTTGGATTAATGTCTAAGTCCATAACTATAATTGGTAAGACTTGACCCGACTCGGCGTGGTCCATTTGGGTTGCATGGCATCATCCATTTGGATAGACTAAAATGAGAGAAATAACACTTAAGGTTTGTTAATATATTAATAAGGTTATTTAATTAGTACTGATCAAGAATTAATTTGGAATTAATTAAGTGATCAAAAGAAGACTAATTAAATATATGGGTTGATTGTGTAAGTCATTCATTCTTATATAAGTGGGCTTGTGATCCAATATTCATTATGTTGGACTAAGTCCATGGGGTGACCCATGGATACTCCATGGAGGTTAAAATCCATGGAGCATAAGGAATGGGTAAAGTCATGAGTTACATGGTGTAACCCTAATAGCCACCATATAAAAGAATCTCATGGCTCAAGAAATCATGCACTATGTGTGAGTGTAAGGGCTAAACGATTTCAAGGAGTGTTCAAGTTTCTCTCAATTTATTCCATGTGTACATGGTGTTGTGTGAACCATTTGAGGTGTCACACTTGGGGCACTAGGCACTCAAGCTTCACGAAGACTTTCTACATCAAAGAGGTATGTAATTCTAACTTGATATATTCATATGAATCATGTTATTATGCTAGTTAGGATGAATACCTTGGAAAGTTCATATTTGTATGTATAATAGAGAAAACATAGATCCAAGGTATTTAGGGTTGCATGTACACTTAGGGGTGTTAGAATGCTCAAAACCCAACAGTAGTATCAGATCCATGGGTTGTTTTATGTTATATTGATGCAAATATTTTATTTTCAAAGTTGAAAAAAGGGAAAAAAAAACATGAAGTTTGTCAAATTTTAAGATAATTACTTGTTCGTGTGAAAAACTAATTATTTGTAAAATTTGAATAATTTGCTATATGAGTTGAATTAGGTCAAATTTAGTAAAAGATAAAATAATATGATTATTTTATTAGTTTTAAAAGTTTGATCTAAAGAGTTTTAGTTTTTGAAAACTCCATAAGTTATGGATATGAAAAGGTTTTAAAAAAAATTGATTCAAAGTTTTTATGGAGTTACAAAATTTGGTGTTAATGTTTTAAAGAATTCCATAACTTAAGAATAAGTTATGGATCACCAAAAGTTTTTTGTGTTACCTTGTTTTTGTTGGGTTTTGAGCAATCTAACACTCCTAAGTATACATGCAACCCTAAATACCTTGGATCTATGTTTTCTCTATTATACATGCAAATATCAACTTTTCAAGGTATTGTTCTATTCTAGCATACAAAACTTTGAATAACACAAGTTAGAATAACATACCTTTTGTTGGTGCTTGTCTTCATGAAGCTTGAGCGCCTAGTGCCCCAAGTGTGACACCTTAAATGGTTCACACAACACCATAAGCACTTGGAATAACTTAGAGAGAAATTAGAACACTTCAAGAATCACCTTGCCCTCCATGCATCTCCAGTGGCCGATTTCTCACATCAATAAAATGCTTATATAGTTGTTACAATTAGGGTAAACCCTAATTGTCATGGATTTCCATTTCCTTGGATCCATGGGTTCAAATACACCATGGAGCATCCAATAAGTTTGAGCCCAACTTGATAATCCATGGAGCATTAGCCCACTATATAAGTATGAATGATTTACACAATCAACCCATATATTTAATTAGTCTTCTTTTGATCACTTAATTAATTCTAAATCAATTATTGATCAATACTAATTAAATAATCTTATTAATATATTAGAACTTACAATATATTAATAAACCTTAAGTGTTATTTCTCTCATTTTAGTCTATCCAAGTGCATGATGCCATGCAACCCAAATGGACCATGTCGGGTTGGGTCAATTCTTACCACATATAGTTATGGACTTAGACATTAATCCAACAGTTTTATGAGTGAATTTAGATTAATGAAAAAAATTATGTGATAGTTGGTTTTAATCCAAATTAATCCAAAAGAAGTTCATAAAATGTGTTTATGTAACTTAAAAGTCACATTTATGAATCTTAAAACTCATAAAAGTTAACATAGGTTACAAAAATGAAGAGTCTTGTTTTCATTGAATGCATTGATGACTCCATAACTTGTCCTCAAGTTATGGAGGTTCAAGAGTCACTTCATTAAATCATTAAAATATGTAACCTTAATTAATTTCATATGTTACAAATAAAGAAAAAGTTACACTCTTTTATTAGTTTAAAGTCTTCCATAACTTGTCCTCAAGTTATGGAACTTGAATAGTTTTTGGATTAAAACTACTTTAAACACATAAGTTATGGAATTAATTAGTTTTGAATATTTTCAAAACATGCCCTCAAGTTTTGGAATTTGAAAAGTTTTCTCTTATGAATACTTTAATTCCAAGTTAGACTTTTAGAATTTTAAAAGTTAAAATTCAACCCTTATACTTTATAATATTATAAGTTAATAATATATATATATATATATATATATATATATATGTGTGTCTGTGTGTATGTATAAGAGTAAAGTCAGTCTTACCGTTAGTAGGCCTCATTCACGAAGTCGGTCTATAAGAGGGGTATAAGGTTACTGCCTATAAAATGGCAGCTTAATGGGTGTCCACTCTCACCCACCACTTCCTTGACTAGTGGAGGGTCGTTAGCCGAACGGGTAGGACAAGGACTATAATTCTCCCTTCATTAAAAGTATTAATGATAAATACTAAGTAACTAAACCTTTTATAAATACCTAATCTTAGTTTTTTAGGAAAATGTGAATAAGGTGTTAATCCATGAAATTACACTTTGCACTTTGTTTAAGTCGGTTAGTGGAGCGTGTGTGGTTAACCGGCACACTAACCTAGACTTAACAAGGTAGGCAAAGGGTAACTTAATATTTATCATAGTATCGGTGGAGCGTGTGTGGTTAACCGGCACATCGATTAAGGGGTAAATATTAAGGGTACCCAGTGTATTTGCATGGTTACTTCACACCTTGTTTTGTGATCCTTGGCATCCCAGTCACAAAACCTGAAGGGTACACTCGAGATTGAAACATGTCATTGAAAAGTTCAATGAATCTCAAAGATCTAGGAGTTTCAAAACCTAATAATACATTTAGTTTGTCTTGGTGGAAATTGATGAATCGTCATTCACCTACCTTCAAATATTTTATAGCTTGGATTACGGCATCCCTCTTCCAAGTTATAAAAGTATTGTGTTGGGTCCTAGCCTTAATATTTCATATTGGGTGTCATATTAAGGACTTTAAATCAACTATCTTGAATATCTCCCAAAAAGATGTCTGGTTTCGACATTTATGATCTTCCCAAATCTCTTGGAACTTTACTTCCTTCACCTCCTCTAATTATTCTCCCTAACCCACAAGTTCTTGAAAAGTTTAAGGTCACTCAATCCCTATTGGCAAGCAAGGTCTATGTGTGATCACATCTTGGAGATGAAGTCACGTGTTGACAAGCCGGGAGAGTTGGGTGTCAAAGTCTTGAGAAAGTTCATGGTTCAATCACTTTCTAAGTCACATAGTGAGTTCCTTTGGGACTCCTATGAAACAAACTATGACAAGAACCTTAATGATCTTATCTATTTGCTAAGATAAACTTCCTAAAACTTATGGACATTGACAATAATGACATTGGACATCCAGTAAAGCTCTCTCTTCCCAATGGAAAGGGATCGGCCATACTCAACTCAGTTGACCAAATGGTAAAGAGAAAGGCTAAGTCTGTAATAGTCCCATGTTCCATTACCAAAGCATTCATATGTTAAATTGCCAAAGGAAGGGGCATTGGTTGCGAAGCTGCCAATTTACCTAAGGGTGTTAAAGTCAATAAGTTTGACTCTACTTCAGGTAAATTCCACTATCTCACTCTGCTAAGTTTCTATTCTGAGATTCTTGATACATGATGTGACTGGGTCACATGGTGACGTTTTAAGAATCAAAGAAAAGTGAAGGAACTTACAAAAAGAATATGTTGAATCTGATCGTGTAGATGGATTTCTATCGCATAGTTTGAAGATCG